CAGGGTCACGTGATGCAGCCCGTCAGCTCCGCCCGGGGGCACGGAGGGGGCTCCCCCTGGCTGCGCCTGCCTGGCGTGTCTCCCCCGGCCATGCGAGGGGGAGAGGCAGGGAGGCCGGCCCGGCCTGCAGGCAGGGGCCAGGGCACAGGGGACCAGCCGGGGGGGTCGGTCCCCACTGGGCAAGGAGCGGAGGCGTCGCGGTGGGTGCTGGCGCTGCCCTGCTTGAGGCGGCCAAGCGCGCCCCTGCGCCGCCCGCCTCCTGGCACCCTCGTCTGGGGTCTCCTTGCACCCGCGGGTCCCGTCTGCAGAGTGGGCTCCTTCCTCCCGGAGAAACCTCCAGGTTTCCCGGCCCTCGGTCAGCTGCACGGGTCGGCGGGCCGGCGTCTCGGGGCCATTACGGTTGCGAGCGCCTGCGCGGGGATGCTGCTGGGTGTCCAAGCAAGGGAGCTGTAGGCAGGCCCGGCTGGGGGGTGGTGGTCACCACCCTCGCTTTGATTCGGGGTCTGGAGGTGGTGGCTTTGCAAGGGAAATCCGGAGATGCAGCTTTTGTTTCGGATGACGCGCTCCAGCCCAAAGCCGTGCCTGGCCATTGCTGTCGGGGGCAGGGTGACGCTGTCCCTGGCTCTGGAGAGATTCGCCGGACAGCCCCGCGCGGCTTCGTGGCAGCTCCGTGCCCAAAGGGCCTGGTGCCCTGAGCGGTTTGCAGGCTTAGGGCTGCAGCGGCCAGATAACTCTTGCAGTCGCCGTGCCCCCGGCGGGGGAAGCTAGCTGTGAGAGAGGCCCTCGGGGGCGGCGGGGCTGCCCGTCGCGTAATCTGTTCGGTTTCATTGTGCAGCCTTGCTCGGCTGATCAAAACAATAAGGCGTGCGCAGAGATCAGGGGTGGAAAGTCCCAAGCTAGGGGAGGTCTGGCACCCGGGCTGGCAGAAGAAGTGTTTCCAATGGGCTCCTTGAAGGGCTGCATAGGGCACGTTTCCCCCCACCGCCCCAGAGGCCTGTTTCCACAGGGGCAACGGTAAAGGCCTAGAAAATGAGGAAGAAGCTCAGATCTTGGGGAAAGGGCACGAGCTGGTGCCAGGACCATGTTTATCCTAGGGCACAGGCCTGAAGCAAAGGCTGCTGTCATCGCGGCTTGGCGCAGGTGGATGGAGTCAGCTGCGTGCTCCTGTGTGCCCGGCAAAAATCAGGGGCTGCACGGCGATCTCTGCCAGCGAGGCATTTTGCATCGCGTGCATGCTTCTCTTGTTGTGGGAGAAGAGACGCCTACGTTAAGGCTGAAATGTTCACACTGGGGAAGATGTGAATTGGTGCCCGCTGCTCTGCTGTATATTGGTGTCGGTGTTTACTGCCAGCTTTAAATCATCATCCATCCCTCTGGGTTTCATGGTGGCAGATTAGGGAGATTTGGTTAAAATTAAAAAAAGCAACCCAACTTGTCCAGCCCCAGCACAAATCGCCAGCTGTAATGTCCTTTGAATGCAGTGTTTTATTTAAGACCTGTGTGCTTAACTCTGTTATCCCTGGTCTGAATGTGCCCACTGCAAAGGGTATGTGCGGCTTCCCCGCCTGGCAGATGGAGCATAAAATGCCGAATGGCAGGCCGCGGGGTGGGCGGAAAGCTCAGCAGAGCGATCGGCAAAGGGCCTTTCCGCTGGCGTCGCATTTATTTCCTGTATCTCTCATTCCTTCCTGTTATTACCTAGCGAGCGATCACATGAGTCCCCTTTGTCTCTTGTCCCTGCACGTTATGATCTGTGTTTCGGAGGCTGCTAAGCCTCTGGTGTCGATTCCCCAGCAAAATCATGCGCCCCGCCGCTGTAGCCAGTATGTGCAAGCCCTCCGGTTTGGACCAGCGAGCTTGAGCCTTGGAAATTATTAACTGGGTCAGCACCGGTGACTTCTGTTCTGCGTATTAAATCTGGGAGGTTCCTGTAAATGCTCTTTTCCTGAGTGTACCTGTTTCGATTCGTGAATGAACCAGCTCGGGCTGCTTTATTCCCTGCGTGTGTTATGCCTAAGGAGTGTTTAGGGAAACCAAGTTTTCAGCAGCGACGCAGAATATTTGCGGACAGTGAAGTTTGACCGGGCAGTTGGCACTGCCAGGGGCTGAGGGTACCTCCGCCCTCTGATCGATGCTTCCCTGGGCTTGTATAGCTCGGGCATTACCAGCAGTGAAGAGCTACTGTGCAGGCTGTAAGGCCCAGCGGGGTCTCTTGGTACTTTATGGAGTTGCTGGCCCATGCTGAAGCCCAAGCTAGCTCGATTAAAGCCAGCAGGGTGGAGTGATGTGTGTTTTAATGGCACTGCCAGCTGTAGCATGGAGGTACCCTGAGCACCCAGCTGTGGAGGGTGGAAATGCCCCGGGCAGTTACAGGCTCAATTTGTTCCTTTTTTTTCTTGATCTCTTGCACCAGGGCACAACCTAGAGTGATTCGGTAGCACGGTGCGTGGTGGGGGTAGGGGAAAACACCTCTGCTGCTAGCTCGTGGTGCACTCTTCAGGGCTGCAGCAAGGTGCACGGGGGCCCACACTGGTGCATCGTATCCCGGCTGCGTGGACAAGGCCGAAACAGTCGTCCTGCCTTTCTCCCCCTGCTCCTTCCCAGCATCTCGGGGAGCTTAGCTTTTGGGGAAGGGTTGGGGCTGGGCGGGTGCACCCTTGTGCCTCCTGGAGCTGAGGCCAGGTTACGTGGCTGTAAAGACCCCTGGAAGGGGCAGATACAGGTTGTCCTGGGGAAAGGCCTATTTTGGAGACCGTTTGTGATGGGGCGAGTCCCTGCAACAGGGCTGTCCCTGGTCCTCCTGCTCTGATGCATGCGTTTCACTGGGGATGTTGCCTTCTCTCTCATTTCATGCACGCGGGCGTGAATGAAATGAATCAGAACACCCTCGGGGATGCTTCGGTGGACCCCGGTGCAGTAGATGTCCTTCACCATTTCCTCTGCTGATGCTTCAGCAAATTGATCTGGTTTGGAACCATTTCCCT